TCTCTCTCTCTCTCTCTCTCTCTCTCTCTCTCTCTCTCTCTCTCTCTCTGAACGCGGAATTGTTCGGAATCAAATAAAGATGTTCGTCGCGGCTACATCATGAAATATCTTTGAACACTTCTTTCGAGGGTAGTGGCGTCGTCTCTCCAGCAGGCGGCAGGTGAGTGATGCTGAGCCGCTAATGATATAGATATAGATATATATTTATGTGAATGTGAATGTGTTTTGTGAACTGAACGCGTATTTTTTCAGTTTGATGTCTGGTTTTGTATCTCATCAGTGTTTCCGTAAAAGTATCACTTCCCGGTTTGAATAGGGCTTGATGGATATATAGTGCGAGATTTTGGCCGGTCTCAAATATATTTTTCAATGCATTTCAAATTGCTAAAATATGCTTCAAAATATATTTATGCAAATATGTTTCCTGGGTCTTTCTATGGACATGGAATTTTTTTTTTGTCCCTAGCCTTTACAGAAATATTACACTTAAAAACACTTTAGGGTTACAATTTATTTATATTTTAAAATGAAACAATGTTATTTGAACAATTGCACCTTCTTGAGCCATCAGTGTGGAATATTCTATTCTATATGGAATTCCAGACAGCACAAAACTGCATGTTCAGAGACAATAATGTATTCATAACTATCAAATATATGATGTAAATGGCATTTAAAAATGCACTGTCTCTTTTCAGTTGTCAGAACTCACTGGCATGAGCTGCTTTGTTGTCAGGGAACTGTGAAAAACGACTTGCTTCAGTGAGTATACTATGATCGACAACATGTGCTCTGATACCTTGCAGCAAATATTTTATCAAATGCATTTTTCATGAAAAGTGTCACTGGTGTCACCTTCCATATGGGTGAATAAATGCACACATTTCTTTTTCAAAAAGTCAAAAGTTAATCTAATAATGTGGTCTAAGTTTAAATGTTCGAGCAAGAAACACATTTTAAGACATCTTGAAAGAAGAATGACCCTTCTACAAATATACGTTGTCCATTTTTTGAAAATACATTTTAGAAATAGAAATATATATTTAGTAAATAGCCTATATTTTACTCTCCATATATTTCAATCTCAGAAAATAGATTCACGTGTCACATCTGAAGGAAAACGTTATTATCTGTAACACGTGTGAGCCTAGAACACATCTGCATTTTAAAACAAGCCTAAATGTAGGCTGCTGTAAGATTAGAAATCTGTTTTCTTGCCCCTGAAATACATTTTTAGATATATTTTGGTATATGAGGGCTGGAACTAAAGATATTTTAAATTTCAAAAATGTATTTCTCTCACTGTTTGCAACAGTGCTTTTAGTATATTTTGGCCAGAGAAGGTTTCATGATCTTTGAGCGGCGTGTATCAGATAAACCCAGACACACTAGTATTCACACTGTTCATTGACAGTTTACGGTTGTGTTTTGAGCGATATGAAAGTCATGTCCTCACTGCCCATAAACACAGTTTGGCAGACGAGCTCCAGATGTGTGTTGTTGAGAATAACAGCAGCTCTGCTCAATAGCTCATTGTGGACAGATATTAGTTTTTATCATCTGCTTACACACAGAATCTTCTCTCGTCACAGTTTCTGAAGCTGCACTCAAACAGCAGAAGCACACACCACATCTGCAAAACCACACACTGATTCTGTCTTTGACTCAGTTCAGTTTCAGAAAACACTTTTTGTAAAACACAACACACAGTTCTCTCTGTAGCGCACAGAAATGAAGCAGGACATCCAACTGTTCCCATGAACACAGCGAGGTTGAGATGGCTTCAGGGCCACGTCCTCATGAAGCGCAGAAAGATCAGAGGACCAGCTGAAAACTCGTTTACCCCTTTATAGAAAAATATTACGCTTTTGTCTCAGGCTGTTTCCAGGAATCAAACACCAGCGACACGGTTCTGAATGTGTCTTTTGTTCCTCTGGAAATCCCTGCATGCTCTGCTTAGATAAAAACACACCGTTTTAGTAACATGGTCGAAAATGTGGAGGAACTCGAGGAAGAAAATTAAATCTTATAAAATGCAATCCCGTAACGAACAAAACGTTTCATTTTGTGTGTGAGTGGGTGTGTGTGTGTGTGTGTGTGTGTGTGTGTACCTACTTAACCATATTTTGGGGACAGATTTGTACCCAAAAGTGAGCTAAACCTGACAAAATCTCCAAAAACCTCCCTTTGGGGACATCCTTATTTGTAAAACTTTTATAAAAGTAAAGTAAACAAAGTTTTTTTTAAATTGTAAAAATGCAGAAAGTCTCCTGTGAGGGGTAGGTTTAGGGGTAGGGTTGGTGTAGGGTGATAGAAAATAGAGTTTGTACAGTATAAAACCATTACACCTATGGAGAGTCCCCATTTAGATAGCTAAGTAAATGTGTGTGTGTGTGTAGTTAATATTTTGGTTTTGTCTAACAAGCGCCCTTCACTACTGTATATAACACAACCTCTTGTACATTATTTGAAGGATTAATACTGAATGAAAGTCTCCTGTGAGGGGTAGGTTTAGGGGTAGGGTTGGTGTAGGGTGATAGAAAATAGAGTTTGTACAGTATAAAACCATTACACCTATGGAGAGTCCCCATTTAGATAGCTAAGTAAATGTGTGTGTGTGTGTAGTTAATATTTTGGTTTTGTCTAACAAGCGCCCTTCACTACTGTATATAACACAACCTCTTGTACATTATTTGAAGGATTAATACTGTATATATTGAGTAATTAACCAAAATACTTCCGAGTTATTTAGGGTCTGGGATATTAGATGAAGATTTATGAGCACACATCAGAAAGAGCTGACAGTAAAGCAGGACAGAAGCCATCTTGACAAACAGTGTTGGATGTGATTTACAGTAAAGAGGCTGATCCATCATAATCAGAGAGCTGTGAGAGTCATTTGTAAATTCTGGGCAGCTTTGAAGTCATTGCCTGCACGATGACGGCGTTTATAACGTCTGCTTCTCCAGAGCTGCTAACAATCTCATCACAACCATTCCAACGTAAACCAATCAGTGAGTCCATGTTCTCACTTCTCAGTTATTAATCGAGAGAACGACCTGCAGATATAAACTCTTCTGTTATCAGTTTGTGTTCGTCACATTAAAGCCTTTTGCCTCTGATGAACCTAGAAAGTCATTTCTTTCTGGCTTCATCTCGTACTTTTGACAAAACCACATCTGAACACCTCAATTTGTGCATTTGCTCCAGGCTGTTTACGAAACATCTACATGACGGAGTGTCCGCATGACACGATTCATGACATTAATTCTTCAAACTCTTTCTGGTCCAGTTCTTCTAGATCAGGAAGCAGATTAAAGAAACAGTTCAGCCAAAAATGGAAATGTGCTCACTCTCAGTTCATCAGAGATCAGGAAGAGTTTGTGTCTTCATCAGGTTTGTAGAAATGTAGCACTGCATCAGTGTCTCAGCAATGGATGCTCTGCAGTGAATGGGTGCCGTCAGAACGAGAGTCCAAACAGCTGATAAAAACATCACAATAATCCACAGCACTCCAGTCCATCAGTTAACATCTGGAGAAGACAAAAGCTGAAACACATCCAGCATTAAGACACTTTTATACGCATTCATAATCCATAATATCTCTTCCTCCAGTGAGTCAGTGTTCTGGTGTGAATCAGGAGAGAAATCTGCACAGATCAAGCAGCGTTGAAACAGCTCTAAACACATATGTGGCTGGATTCTGATGCGAGAGACAACAGCAGATCTTCCTGCAGAGAGTCAGTGTTCTGGTGTGAATCAGGAGAGAAATCTGCACAGATCAAGCAGCGTTGAACCAGCTCTAAACACATATGTGGCTGGATTTTGATGCGAGAGACAACAGCAGATGCACTTTTTCACTGGAGGAAGAGTTATTATGGATTATAGACTCGTATTTTAGTTAAAAGCATCTTAATGCTGGATTAGTTTCAGCTTTTGTCTTCTCCAGATGTTAACTGATGGACTGGAGTGCTGTGGATTATTGTGATGTTTTTATCAGCTCTCGTTCTGACGGCACCCATCCACTGCAGAGCATCCACTGATGAGCAAGGGTTGGTAAGTGAAAGGCTGAAGGTTTGATGCATGAACTTCAGTGTCACCCCTGAACAACACAATAAAGTCTCACTAGAAGTAACTTATAACTGACCGGAAAGAATGAAGCTCTCTCTGATTCTGAATGGTCCTCATGATCTGAGTTTAAATGCAGGTGCTTCAGTCACAGATGTGTGGTTTTAATGTGACCCTCAGGGTTTGATTTCAGTGAATGATAAACAAGCAGTCAAGACTTTATTTCTATATAAGTGATGAAATAAAGATAAGGATGATGACTGAACTGCTCATCGGGGTTCTGCAGTAAATCTAGCCTGAAAGCTTGATAGTTGGTGTGTAATTATAGACAGATCACATATCGACACTGTTTTATTGTCAACTCGTTGCCAGATTTCTTGTCTTCTTTCATTCACAAACATCAGGACGTGACACGACGAGCTCAGCTGTCATTATACAGTGTTTCTTCAGATCAGATGATTACTTTGTTGGATCAAATTAGTCTTACAGATCTTTCCATGTAGCTACAAGTGTTGAAGAATGTTTCAACTACAAATCGAGCGATTGCATTACTATTATTTATTTATTAATAATAATTATTTAGATATTAAATTAGCTGTGACTCTCAGAAACACGCTTAATGTGGCCTAATGCATTAAGACAGTGTTTATAAGACCTAACTCTGTAAGCAGGTTATTAATAAATCATACTATGTACAGACAAGCAGATGAGTCCAGGATAGGAACACAATGCGTTTAATAACACGTTAAGCGTTTTCTTCCCATAGGAAAACATCAATGTGGATGCATTAAAATTGTTTTATTATAGGATCTGCTTGTCTGTATATAGTATGCTTTATTGATCATGTGTTTACTGAGTTTGGTCTTTTAAAAACACTGTCTTAACGCATTAAGCCACGTTAAGCGTTTTAGAATGTCCCTTAGTCCCTTATACCGTTCTGACAGGCAATTAAAGTGTTCAAGTTCTCAAAGAGGTGGAATTAACACATGCACACACCGCTATATTGGCGCATCATGTTCAAGTGCCACTGGAATCATGTCCAACCAGATGTATTAGAAAGAAGAGGAGCTGAACATGAACAGCGATCTGTGTCAGTGCGCTAATATTTCTCCTCCTCTTTGTCTGTGATCAGAGGAGCGTCAGGTGATGGGCAGCAGATGGAGAGACTCCTGCAGAGAGCAGAGCCCTCAGACTCCTCCAGAACACGACAGACTGAGTCTGAGGCCTTCATCTGTCAGATCGGATCATGACTGCCCTGGTTCGGCTCGGTCTGTAGAATGCACTTATTCATTCAAATATACACAAACTATTAAATGTCCCTATTTAGATGAGTAAATCTAGCTTTTTGCACTGGTTTCTGTGTCTGTTAGGATATAGAAAATATTATTAACCTGATATAAAAACCATGACAGTCTATAAGATGAGCTCACTAATATCATATCATATGTATGATGATATATGTATATCCAGCTCAGCTTTATCCGCATGCATGCATTCACATAAAGCGATAGGCCTATGATATATAGCGAATCTCAACTAATTGTTTATAAAGTTGCAAAATGTAACTATATCATCATCCAGCTCTAATCTGATAAATGCGACTTAAAGGCATAAACATAAGATATTATAAACATTAGCATCATGATTTTCTGTAAAATTGCTTTGAAACAGTGTGTATGGTGAACAGAGCTGTAGAAATGAATGTGGCTGTATCTTACACGCATATAAAGGGAGGTTGAGTTTGTCCTCATTCGACCTCAGAGCAGTGCGCATGCGCTCCGACCGTCTGCGTCTCACTGCTCAAACCTGTCTGTCTGACAGCTGACGAGAGACACGATAGCGCTGCGAGTTTATTATAGAGGACCGAGCCTATCACAGACACACACACACACTCACACACACACACACACACACACACACAGGTTTACTTTTGTGAAAAGTGGGGACTCTCCATAGGTGTAATGGTTTTTATACTGTACAGACCGTATATTCTATTGCCCTACACCAACCCTACCCCTAAACCTACCCCTCACAGGAGACTTTCTGCTATTTCAGATTTTCAATACACTCCATTCTGTGTGATTTATAAGCGTTTTGAAAAGTGGGGACATGGGGTAATGTCCTGAAAAGTCACCTTCTCCTTGTAATAATAGTCATTATACAAATATGTCCTCATTTGTCACAAAAAACGCGCACACACACTCTCTCACACACACACAGTTTGATTGCATAAGCAGCACATAATAAAGCTGCTCATTTCCTCTGAAAATGAAAACGCTGATTTGCTGGAGAGACAGACGGGACTTTATCTCCCATGGCAACCGACATGTGATGAAATATCAGACACACTTTACCTGCACTGATGGTCTGACCGGCGTTTGCATCAACACAGAAATACATATACATAAATGCATGCTAGTTTATCAAAATATTCTAAATGCAGAGTCGGAAAACACTTGTGTAGCACATGCAAAAAAGCAAGCACACATCAGTTTCTGAAGTCATCAGTCATTCTGTCTGCTTGTGTGAAACCGTTTCTGATGTGCAGCAGATTGTGTTACACATGAAGCTGGTCAGTGAGTGCACTTCATAGGGCGCATATGTTGGCCTTTGACCTCCTGGAATCTGGCAGACATTTGTCAGTGTGTGTGTGTGTGTTCGGGGAAAACACGTCTAAATATATCTGAAATACTGAGTATATCTGAAACGATGAACACTTTAGCTAGAGAAGATGAAGTTTTCTCTCATGGGAGAAACTATTATTTGAGTGGGTGAAATTATTTAAGATTCAAATATGGGAAAGTGAGTGGAAGTTCCAGTATGCATATGAAAGCTTCTGCTGTGAGCATGAAGTCTTCAGGAGATGCGAGGCGTGTTCACTGACTCTCCGGCTTCACATCGCTTGCATTAATATCCTGCGTTTGAAAGCGGATTGCAGTGTGTTTGCAGTGGTGTTATATTTGCATTCCAGTCGCGGTGAGAAACTCGACGATCACAGGGAATCCTTCGGAGAACATCACTCGATTGTTTCAAAGCAAGCGTTTGCTCAGCCGAGACACACAAACCCATGGAGTGGGGTTTACCTGGAAAGGATTTTCACACAATGTAGCAATTTCACAAATTATTTCAAAGAAGTGGCAAGTAACTTATTGAATGAAACATATGTGACCCTGGAGCACAAAACCAGTCATAAGGGTCAATTTTGTGAAATTGAGATTTATGCATCATCCGAAAGCTGTATAAATAAACTTTCCATTGATGTATGGTTTGTTAGGATCGGACAATATTTGGAAACTAGAATCTGAGGGAGCAAAAAAATCTAAATATTGAGAAAATCATCTTTAAAGTTGTTCAGATGAAGTTCTTAGCAATGCATATTACTAATCAAACATTAAGTTTTGATATATTTACGGTAGGAAACTTACAAAATATCTTCATGGAACATGATCTTTACTTAATATCCTAATGATTTTTGGCATAAAAGAGAAATGTATAATTGTGACCCATACAATGTATTGTTGGCTATTGCTACAAATATCCCCCAGCGACTTAACACTGCTTCTGTGCTGCAGGGACAGAGATAATGTTTAAATAGAATGGCTGAAGTGTGATTCTTCTTTTACAATCTTTATTTACAACTTTATAAAAAATATTTTGGTACAATAAGGTTTAATTTGTTAAATCCATAAGTTAACAAACTAACAATGACCGATTCTTCTGCAGAATTTATGAATCTTAGTTAATGTTAATCCCAACATTTATTGATACATTTTAATATCAAAAGTTGTGTCTGTTAACATTAGTTAATGCGCTTTGCGATATTGTTAGTTCATGTTAAGTAATTTTACCAAATGAGAACTTATTGTAAAACTTTACATTCACAATTTTACACTGTGGGAGGTTTCATCTTTCATTTTTAAAATGTATCAGTTACTTAGTCATCATGACAACAAATGTTTAAATCAAGGTTTGATGTTTTCAAATGCAGGCAAATGTTTTGCTTGTTCAGGATGATTTCAGCTCTTCGCTGGATTCATGAATTGTGTCTGTCTGGCGTTAAAAAGACAGTTTGAACTTATTTGGATCAACATGGGACAGAGATCAATTATTTGAAAAACAAAAAGATCCCATGCCAGTGTGTTGTTCGGGATGTTATGTGGCATTTTAGTCCTTGTGGTGATTCTTGATTCAGTCTAGACTCAGCCGTGCATCAAAAGAGCGTCGTGTTTGACTCTTGAGCAAATGTAAATACAAATATTAATAATTTACATGTAAATAACCCTGGTGCTCCTCGTGTGGCGAGGTACATTCAATGAAATGAATGTACTATATTTTAGTTTGATAATATTGTTTAGTTATTATTTTGTATTTTTGGGAGATTTTAATGGTACTAATTTATACTGATGGCGTAGTTAGGAATAGTTATGATCCATTTATTACCCGTTAACCACTTTTTAAGAACAGACCTGAAAACTTAAACTATCGTAAATCTTGAATGCTTTGTTGCACTTAAGACTTAAGTTTTGGTCTCTTTTTAAAGAATACACATATCAGATGATTGCCGAAGTGGAAAAGTTTTTAAAAATGGAGCAACAAAAAAAAGGCTATAGACGTTTAAGTTTATTATTCTGAAAAAAGGCTAGAAAATGCTATTTTAAAAATGTATATGAAACATTTTCTCTAAAACGGCAAGAAAATCAAAGCCATAAATCTAAACAGGTTGTGCTCCAAATTTGAGGTTGATATCACAAAACAACAACAATCAGCATAGTCAGATTTGGTTCGGCTGCAGTACCAGAAGTTTCCACTAGATGAAATGTGTTTCCCATTCATTTCCAATGCTGTCATTTTTTACCTGAACAATGTAAGTGTGACTGTTTTTTTCAGGACCATTTAGCCTATGTTCACATAGCAAGTGCCAAAACCTTTACCAAGTTGTGTACCATTCCAATAAAGTAAAACATTCATTAAACAATTAATGCATTTGTTAATTTTCATCTGGGTCCGCCCCCTGCAGTGTTTAACCCAATATAAAACTCAACGTCAGCACAACCATCCGGCCCCAAAACCCAAAAATGTTAATGCTTGAGATCACATGAGCGATTATGATTATTATAACGGAAACATCTACGATCTAACACTTCAGTCACTAACAATCATTATAGTGTTGTGTTGTTTTTCTGTCTAGACTCTTTAGTCAAAGTGTGGTTATGATGCAAGCCTGTAATTAGGTGTTTCGTCCAGCCGTTAATGCAAGATTATTCAGATTATTCCGCGGGAAATTAAAGGCGTTGATTGTTTTGTGCTGAAAATCTGCTTACAGACTTTGAGCTTCTGAACATCGGGCCCCAAAATGTTGAGTTTTCTGGTGAATGTTACAAATAACAGTCATGAGGAAAATTAAAGCATTTGAAAAGTGTTCCTTGCAGGAGAATATGCTTTATAGAAACCATTCTGACTGGCTATTTAGATCAGGTCAATTTCACACTAGTATTACACACACTCTCAGAAGTCTGCTTATTCATATCGGTTTACGACATTAAATAAGTTCTTCAAGCGATGTGCCCGTTTGGAAATGTTTTCATGAGGTGAGAATGTAGATAGTCACTGTGACACGAATAAATCAGTGCAGATCTCCAGACCGAGGGTTAGGAGCAGTCTTTCATTTCAGGAAAAACAATAAAAGCTGATGAGACCGAAATGACGGGTTACAGGCCTTTCATTCCAGCTCTCTGAGCTCGTAAAATCATGCAAAGCTCTTCAACGGAAGAGAAATATAATCGCTCGTGCCTCATAGAATTACTCAAGAGACTAAAGTTTCGTTGTACGTGTCAACACATTCACATTAACATTCATGTTTACAACTTTCAGTTTTTGCAGTGTTGCTTCACCGTATGTATTTCATCATGAACTGGAAGCGTCGTCCACATTAGTGTTTGTTCATTTTTTTATATAATTTCTATCCATAATTCTGTTTTCCCATGTGCAGCCTTGCTTTGCATTTATATTTAGATTTATGCATTTACCAGATGCTTTATCCAAAGTGACTTACAAAAGAGCAATTCGTCAAAGAGCCGACAATAGTCGAAATACACAATGCCAGATTCATTAGACAACTGGATTAGGAAGTGAGTTAGAGAAGAGATGAATTTATTTCTGTTTTTATATGTAAGTGCACTGGTTTAATAGTGTGAGATGGAAGTGCATCCCATAATCAGTGTTGGGGGGAACGCATTACAAGTAACGCAAGTTACATAATCACATTACTTTTTTCAAGTACCTATAACGTATTACTTTTTAGCTTAGAAGGAAATATCGGAGTTACTTTTAGAAATCAGTAGCAGCAGTTACTTTGTTTCCGTGTATTGAGTGACAGATCTGGTGTTGTCATGGAGACAGAAATCAGGAGTCAGTGCAGAGCGTTGTGTGTGAACATGATCTTACTGTAGTTCTAGACTCAATATCAACATGTGTTTACTCATCTCACTGCACACAAACACATTCAGTGCTCCTCACAATCAATACATACTGTCCAATGCAAACTCAGAATATTATACAAACCTGCAATAATTAAATGTGTTAAATAAGACGAATATCATTTGTGTATTTAATCCCACTTTTTTTTAACCAATGTCTTTGCTACTGACCTTCGATGATCCAATTCAACCGTACTAATAATCAAAAATAACACATTTGTGTTTTATTTTAGTTATTGCTGAATAGTGTTGAACTTTCTTCTTCTGCGTCATATTCTTCATGAGATGTGTTTGAGCGGCGCCCTCTACTGTACAGACGTGAATTTACATTTCCTTCAGCCTGAGCCGCATTCACTTCACTTCTGGTGTGAAAAGGCTTTTACATTCCTAAAAGAAGAACTTTTTATATTAAAAACTAACAAGCAAGCCCTGCCCAGATTTAAAAAGTAACTCAAAAGTAACGTAACGCATTACTTTCCACAAATGGCAACTAAGTGACGTAATTGGTTACTATTTTTAGGGAGTAACGCAACATTGTAACGCATTACTTTTAAAGGCAAGGCAAGTTTATTTATATAGCACATTTCATGCACAATGGTAATTCAAAGTGCTTTACATAAAAGTAATACAAATAATCATAAAAAATAATCACAACAATAAAACAAGGAATTTAAAAACTTTTAAAATGATTTAAAAATTGATTTAAAAATGATTTAAAACAGATAAAAATAGAAAATGATTATATATAAAACACAGTGCAATCAGTTCGGACATCGCACAGTGCTCATTCAGTAAATGCACAGCTAAACAGATGAGTTTTGAGTCTGGATTTAAATGTGACTAATGTTTTAGCACATCTGATCTCTTCTGGAAGCTGATTCCA